ACGGTCAAAAACACCCTGAATTCCCCCTATAAAAACAAACCCATGAAAACCGCCTGGGTCGTTGATCTTCTCAGCGAAGACCTTTTTTAAGTGCCCGACCAGGCGGGTAAGAAATTCCAGTCCGCACCCGAAAATCGAACGCGAAGCATCGCCCCCACAGGCACTAGCGTGCACCCTAACATTGTTTTTTGGTTTACCCGTGGTCTAATTTGACACGGGCCCCTATATTGGATTTTCTGATTATTGCGCTATAAAGGGCTCAGTGCCTTAGTGATTGAAACCATAACTAGCTCCAACCAACCCACAACCCCGACGTCCTGAAGGTCTTTTCGACTAAAAATTCGTGCAGTACCCGACTGAAGCAAAGTGGCAAACTCAACAGAGCTTGTTCGTCTGGATCAATTAAAAAACGTCGACCAAACACACAGGGCGCTTGGCTCCAAACCTGTGAGTTTTTTAAACTTGACTTCCCTTTCGAGGCAACGTTTTCACCGTCAATAACTGACAGTAGTGTGTAGTTGTCACTAAATGTACAACCACTGTTGTTCCAATACCGTTGTTTTGAACCGTCAGTGAATCCTAGACACTAATTTTGACACCTTTTCTCTTATTGAAAGTAGTTGAAATATAAATAATTAACAGGATTTTTTTCCTTCACTCTTAGTCAATTCTATTATTAATTTTAAGCTAAAGGTAAATTAGATTTAAAAAACTGTATTTGTAGGTTTATGATCTTATTTAGTGATTAAACGGTTTTTAATCAAATATTGTTGGTGTTTTGGTAGTTGCAGTTTTTATTAAAGCTCAGCACGGATAATATAAAAATTCACCCTTGGAAAAATAGTCACTTGATCGTTTGTTATTACGTAGGCTAATTTGTAACGGCCCTAGATTATTCCACTGAAGCTAAATTTGTCAGTGCGAATCATTCAACTGTGGTCAAAATTTTATAAACATGAGAGATAAAACTGATCAGGCGGCAGTCGTCCAAGTTAGTGCTATCACCGTTTTTAGGCGGAACGATGGTAACCAGCATTGTGTCACAGCTTCGGGGTTTTTCCTCTAAGCAGACGTTCTGTGAATAGTCTCTAGTCTCTTCTCCAGTTAAGTTAGTTAGTTAGTTAGTTCAGTCTCCAACCAATAGGTCTCCATTAATTTATTCGCATGAGTCCATATCTCTACCCATTCAGCATTAGTGATTTTAGACAATATTTTACGTTTATGCATACATTATGGAGTCAATCTCGTTTCTGGTTGCATCGTCGGACCTCATTCATGTCCATTTTTGGAGGGACTTCTTAAAAAATTACTTAATTGTGTACATGTTGTGCTGCCATGAAAATTCCAACAACATTGTGCCGCTTTCATTCCTAAGTAACTAACCCAAACTCCTCCATTTCATCTTTACTATGCCTGCTGGTAGGAGCATAGACCTATATCATTTTTAAGACAGACCTGCTGTTGAGTTTTACTATTAGATAGATAACTCTTACGATAACACTGGGGATGTGAATAACATCTTTGACGACTTTTTATTGATAATAAAACCCACACCGCCTCTTCTTGCGTCCGCTTCGCCAAGATAGTGAAACATATTTCCCCACCTTAAAGTTAGCTGTTCTTTTCTCTTTCTTCATATTCCGCTTGGTGCGACAATATCCCATTTGGATTTCTTCAATTCTTCCTTCATTTCTACCAACTTTTCATCTTACGACCAAGTCCTTGCATTCCATTCCTTTGCCGTATTCGTCCTTGGTGGCATCCCGGGCCACTCCGGGGATTCTCCGCACCCTCCCCTTGCCCTTATTTTTGTCCGCTTCCTTAAACAAAGGTCTGCATGATGCCAGTCACTGAAGAACATATTGTATTAAATCAGATGATTATTTACAGCTAACGTGTAAAAAGTGCATTTGAAGCACTTTTACCTGTATATTTTTCTTATTTGACTCATGGATGGATGGATGGATGGATGAATGGATTCATGGAATTCCTCTATGGATGTGATTATGTTGACATTTTGCTTTGTACAATTTAATACAGGGCTTAACTTATCTAATTCAGGTTTCTTCACTTTTAGAAAATGGGGAATAAGTGAAGCCAATAATAAATACTCCTATTATTTAAATTTTGTGAAAATTGTATCTAATTTAACATACAAAAATTTACATTTATTGAATGGATTTCAAAACGATGAAACTCTTATCAACACTGATTGGATTCAGCTAATAGAAGCAGTCCATCCACAGCTTGATGGCGCATTACTAACTTTTGAAAACAAAATCAAACCTGAATGGCAGTTTGTCATAACGGAATTAGGGTTATGTTTTACCCTCAATTCCAGATTTGCTAAATTAATGGTACCAAAGTAAATATTAGTCTTCAATATAAAATTTATACCGTTGAAACCTTGCATTAATATATACATTTTTAGTTCTACTTTTACAAGTATTGTTTCATCTGATACGTGGAAAAATAAACGAGGAAATTTGAAATGCCATTATCTAAATGGTTTATGTTATGCAAGATATGATTCTGATCCGAACCGTCCAATATGGGTAAGTATTGTACCGGTTTATGGTAGCAAGATATTATTACAGTATATTATATAGGTTTATGGTAACAGACATTATCAAAAATTGCAGTCAAATTAGATACATGGTGTTACAAATTCATGGTATTAGTATTGGAGTTTCGTACACCGAAGTAGAATGAATTAGGGCAAAGTCGTGCATTTTTATATTCAAGATGATGCTATTTTAAAAGATACAAAGTTTCGCCCGGAAATATTCAAAGAAAACTGATATTTTTTCAAAAATTGTCTAATTGTTTCTGAGCTTCGTTGAAGAGATATTTGCAAATAATTGTGATATTGTTAGTGTACATTTGAATTTTCTAGCAGAGACTGAATCAGGGTTGTATTTACATTTAAAAAATTAAAATGACAAATATCATATTGCAAACGAATAATGTTTGAACGCCGAATACGAAGAGACTAATAATGTTGAAATAATTACAATCACAATCCCAGTCATGGTGTTCATAGACTCCATAATGAAAAAAGTTGTTGCCAGTGCAGAATTGCAGAAATCGTTCTTCTCTGGTGTTTCTTTCTCCCAAACCGTATTTGCTACGCAAAGTGATCGGCAAATACGGTTTTGGAGAAAGACACGCCACAGTAAAACGATTGCTGCAATTCTACCCTGAGAACAACTTTTCCATTACGAACACAGGATATGAACATCATGCAAGGCGACAATACACCTGAACATCACCTGGAGGCCTATATAAAAATCAGATAGACTGCATCTTAATAAAATCCACGTGAAGGACCTCAGTTAGGAATACCAGGGTGTATCAGGGAAAAGATTCCAATAGTGATCACCAGTTTCTTGCAGCAGAGCTTTGCATAAAATTGAGCAAATCACAACCAGGGCAGATACGCGATTAGACAATGACTCCAACTCATTGTGGAACAAAACAAAAACGGTACTTCTAGAAGTGGCATCACAAACTGAAGTCACAACGAAACAAAAGAGGAAAGCATGGATCGTAGAGGAAACCTGGCAGAAAATTGAATCGCGGAAACAACTTAAAGCAACGGGTCTAGACAAGGAAGAGGATAGAGAACAATATAACGGACTCAATCAAGAGATCAAGCGCCACTGTAGAAGCGACAAAATTAGTCGACCCGCACGCACACAAGAGTGAGTCAAAGAACAAGTCTGTTTAACAAAGTCAATCAAATTACTTGTACGAATAAACTCAAAGTCCTGGGCAATAACATTGGAAGATGGTAAAGTTATAACAGAAAACACAGATACGGGAGCGATGGAAAAACTATCACTATTGCGACTAAGTAACGGACGACACTGCAAACTCATAGAGTCACACGCAAATATACCCATAAATAATATACAACAAAAAAAAAACCTCTCATATTGAGAGAAGAAGTGAGATCAGTAGTTAGCAAGTTGAAAACCAACAAGTCGCCTGGCGAGGAAGCCGTGCTTGCTGGTAATGCTGACTGTAATCGAGGATAACTACTAGAGTTCAACTATTTCAAAGGATCGGCCAAATGATATGGAAGACCGACACTTGGCCTGAAGACTGAACTAAGTCAGTATGTGGGCCAATTCGCATGAAAGGACCAAAAGAAATATGCGACAACTATAAAACAATAGCTCTTATTTCACATGCCAGTAAGGCCATGTTAAAGCTAATATCGGAACGCATAAAGCCGTATCAGAGAACAGATGCTAAACCTTATTCAAAAAATAAAAAAATCGAGGGAATTCAACCTTACTATATTACTCTATGCTATGCTTCATATATTACTCTGAAGCAAATGGGCGCGAATCACCACTTACTTCTCTTCTCATCTTACTTACTCCGTAGTGTTACAGCCCCTGATGGGCTTTGGCTGACGCGACGACTTGCCTCTATCCAACTCGGTCGGTCATAATCTCCGTAGCATTTTCGACGCCCAATGTTCTCAAATCAGCTGCGATGTTGTCTGGTCGTATATTTTCCTCAGTATTCGTCTTTCGAATCTTCGGATGACCTCCTCATTTCGTACCGTTAGCGTCGACGATTCGCAGCTGTACATGATGATAGGTCTGATGACAGTTTTGCATATTTTGATTTTAGATCTTCTAGTAATTTCTTTAGATCCAAATTCGTTCTTGAGGGCATAAGAGCAGTTATTTGCGGTTTTAAGTCGGCACTTTATTTCCTCCTGATTTCCTCGGTCCTGATGTCATTGTTGGCTGTAATGATGGAACCCAGGTACTTGTACATTTTCAAAGTTGTATTTATTCATTGTCACATTTTATCCCAGTCTCTCTCTGCCTGTTCTAGAGATGTGCATGCATTTGGTCTTGCCTTCGTTGATCCTTAGACGCATCTTAGATGCCTGGTGTTCCAGTCTAACAAGCGTTTTCTTGCTGTTTATTACGCTAGTTGCCAACACGTCCATATCGTCCGCATAAGCAAGTGTTAGTTGTGAACCATTTGCTTGGAAGAGCTTTGTCTCGAGTTTGGAGTCCCTTGCAACCTTTCCCAGGGCAAAATTGAAAAGAGTAGGGGACAGCGCGTCACCCTGCTTCAGTCCCGTACTTACCCTGAATACGTCCGACATATGGCTCCCAACCTTTACTCTGCATCTGGACCCCTCTAGACAAACTCTGGTTAGTCTTATAATCTTAGGAGGTATCCCGAACTCTGCCATCGTCTCCCAGATCTTAACTCTTTTCACACATCATAGGCCTTTTGAAAGTCTGTAAACAATTGGTGTAGCAGCCTATTAAAGTCCCAGCTTTTTTATAGTATCTGTCTAATTGTGAACAGTTGWTTAGWTGTTGACCAGTTTGTCCGAAAGCCACACTGATAATCTCCTATTATTTCCTCTGTGAGTGGGGTAATTCYCGACAGGATYATATTTGATAGCACTGGGTATGATACGTTTATAAGCGATATTCCTCTATAATTTTTGCATTCCATTTTTGTGTATGGGGATTATTATGCTGTCTTTCCAGTCTTCTGGGATCTTCTCGTTTTTCCATATAGTTATTATGAGTTCGTGTATTTGGGATGTTACTGTGTTTTCAGCGTGYTTCAGGAGTTCGGCCGTTATCGTAGSTTTACCAGGAGGTTTGTTGTTTTTCAACCTTTTATGGCGTTCTTAATTTYCWTTCSAGAAGTGTACTCGTCTCGKATTTCCGCAGTTTGGAAGCTGGCCGGTTCTTCCTTGTCTGTATGGCCCTGGTTCAGAAGTTGTTCAAAGTAATATTTCGATATTTGGAGCATTTGGTCTTGCCTGGTTATTAGATCTCCGTTGCCGTCCTTGATGATGTTGTTGGTTCTGGGTCTAAAGCCCTTCTTTCTTGTTCTTATGGTCTTATAGAATTTCCTGGTGTTGTTCCTTTCAACGATTTCTAATTCCTGCAACTCCTGATCCTGTTGTTCTAKTTTTCCCTTCTAAGTAGTTTATTGGCCTCTCTTCYTAGTTTTCTGAATTTACTGTTATTGYCTTCAGTAGTATCCTACATCATTACGTCTTGCATTATTTATTTCCTGAAGTACCCTCTCGCATTCTGTATCATACCAGTGGTTTTTATTTTTGTTYCTTTGCTTTACTCCCTGAGTCACACTTAATATCGCTAATACAAAATGTATACGAGAATAGCACAGCATMYGTCAGAGCAGAGGAAGATCTGACGAATCCATTCAGAGTGAGTAAAGGAGTCAGGCAGGGTTATATACTAAGCCCACTACTATGAGGAAAGCGCTCGATGACTGGCAGAGAAGAATCACCATTAACGGCATCAAAATCTGCAATTTGTGCTACACCGATGATACGACTCTAATCGCTGCATCAGAAGCAGAATTGATCAATCTTATACGAAGAGTGGAAGAAACAAGCAACGAAGTATGCCTGCAGATGAACAGAAAGAAAATCAAATAATGATGATTGATTGTCAAAATAATAACAGACTTTTAGTAAAGAGCATAAACAACATCCAGATAGTTGAGGCTTTTCTATATATAACTAGTGCATTATAATGCATAGATATTTCGAACCGTTCTGCTGCCGAGCTTCACATGACGTCATGGGCCAAACCGACCGATTTGAGACAAATAATCGGCATACCGTTTTATGTGTATCGTGGTTCGGACAAAAACGCATCCAAACGAGAACCGGCTCTCTTTGAACATATTTTATTTCAGCTAAGAATACAACCGTCTCTCAGACTACATACTTTATATACTTACTATTCGCCTAATGCCTATGCAAGAGACCGCATAGTGGGGACGGCCAGACATAACGGCGCCGTAACGCATTCCATTGTGTTTACACCGTGCTGTGGTGCTACACCGTGCCATCGCTTTAAAAGTGGCTGTCTAATAGATCTGGTTAGAATTATTTAAAATGCTGATCTGTTATTTTGGGGGTTTAAAAACTTTGCATAAGAAAAAAACATTAATGAAGTACAAATTTTGAGTAGAGCTTTCAGCAAACTGTATTTAACCGTTTCTGAAATGCAGTTAGCAATCTTTCATATTTCGATGAAACCTTAAACTTTGATAATTTTATAAATATAACCAGGGACTATAGCGAGACCACACCGTGTGGTCAGCACAATATGTCTAATAATAAGCATTATTATGGACCGATAGTCCAGATTTCTAATTTCATATTCTAGTATCACATTCACTCTCACTTGGAAATTATACATGCAACCTCGGAAATACCTACCTTAGTGAAGCAAAGTGAAGAATATGAAGTGAATTATAAGTTGGCTGAAACATATTCCCTGAACGATATTCGGTATCTTACACCCCAGCAAAGAAAATGTCGATTTGAAGATGAACCTCTAACAAATGACGTCCCTGTTTATAGCAACAGTATTTGTACAATGGAATGCCGATACAGATTGGCCATGGAAAAGTGTGGATGTAGACCATTTTTCTATCCCTTTTTATGTAAGTTGTCGTTTGCACTAAAGTTTCTTTGTTGAATTCGTTTTCTATAGACGGCAAAATATGTAATTTGGATGGACTATTATGCCTGGCTAAAATATCATATTTATTTAACAACTCAACTGAAACGTTTGGATGCAGTTGTCCCCAACCTTGCAATTTAATGGTTTATCTTAAACAGGTTCCTAAAATAACGCAATGGTAAATTACACTTATACAGTGAAATACAACAGTAGCTACAATGTGTGCACGTTTCTAGGGCGCAAGAGTTCTTTGATCAAAGAATTACGTTTAGATGGGGATTATTATCACCTACCACCAAATATCATAGGAAAATTATTTTCGGATTTCAAGAGCTGATAGGTAAGCAATATTAATTGTTTGTTCAATCCTTTAGATATTATATTATTTTTAAATGTTTTGGTATATAAGTTTCATATTTAATAATTGTGAAATAAATATTGTTATGTTTTCGGGTTCGAAAGATTCCAGTAACTCGTTCTGTTTGTGAAAGCAATTGACTGAACTTAACACGAATTAAAACTCAACAATAATTCGCCAGTAAATGTTTGCACTACTTTTATACCCTTGATTCGTCAACTCAATAGATCTGTTTTGTGCTTGCTCGGTAGCGGCTGGAAAACAAAAATTTTCTTGAGTACCCGTGACACCGAGTAGCGTTGGATTTCTACCAACTAAAAACCCCCAAGTTTTGACTGCCAGTTTTCGGGAATTATCCTTTAAAACTTGTAGCGTTGATTGAAAGGGTATATAAAGATACGCGAAGCCTAGGCATTTTCAAGGGGTGGGAACAGAACATGATAATGGATACCTGTTAGGATTAGGATCTAAAAAAGTTTAGCTATTTAGCGAATCAAAAATGGTATTTACAGTATCTACGTATATTGCTGTATGGGTAGCGGTATTACTGTCTATTGAACTTATTTGAGAAGCTGGTTTTATCGAAGCAGCAACCTAGTGAGAGAAAATTTGAACTGCAAACTTTACCCTCATTTTTTTTAAATTGTTTGGTTTTAAGTGGACTTCGGTAATTTTAGTTAGTGTTCTGGTTGTGTTACTTATTCTATCGGCATCACAAGTTTTCAATATGTCTAACTAGGAAACCAACAATCCCTCAACATAAAAATTAAGTTTTGTGTTCATAAAGTTGTTTCTTAAGCTCTTTAAACGGTGTGGAACGTCAAAAATAGTAAATATTGTTGGGTGATCGCTGCTTAGAGTAGGGCTATTTTTTTTTAAATATCGTCTGCCATTCTCTACCAGAATAGAGCTGCAACAAGTGACCGTTCATTCGAGTCACATGGTTACCATGTGACATCCCTTTACTTAGCCTCTGTAACTTAGCCTGACAGCATCAAGGTTCGACTGAACCGCCCGTCTCATCGACGATTTTCTGTGCACCACACCATGATGCCATCATCGTGCTGTGCACTTTTTCGGCCACATTTTATTCCATAGGGTTGCGTATCTTTATATACTCTTCAATCAACGCTGGCAGTTTTCTGTTAGAATGGATCCGCTCCGGAATCCGTACGCTCTCACATCACATTCTTCTCATACTCGCTGCCTACTAGTATGGGCATCTTTCTAATTTTACACAAGCACTAGACTACATCAATACATTAACATTTAGTTTTCTCAGGTACCACACTTTGTAGCCTGCTCCTTTACCTACTGTCCTCTTGGGCCATCTGGTGTCCGGGCCTTTTCTTCCTGGGCCCATCATCAGCTGACGCATAATATACGGATCTTCGTAATTCGACAAACGCGTGGTTTGTCTCCAAGAAAGTCTCCCAGTGACAATCCTACTACAAGTCCCTGTAAATTTGACTATTTTGTTCAAATCAGAGCGCATCGATGGCCATTTGCAGAAGTTTATTTTCTGTTTCCCAAAACTGATTTATGTTAGTTTCCGCGGCATACCCCTACACGGTGGAGGCATAATTCCTTGCCGGCCAGACAATACTCTTGATGGGTAGGAATTTGTTATTCACACTCATCTAACTTCGTCGGTTCAAAAGTGAGTACAGCTGGCTGGCTGTGACCTGTGCCTTGTTGATGGCTGTGGTCACGTGTTTCCGCCAGGTCAGCTGAGCATCTAGAACAACACCCAAACATCTTCTCCGTCTAGGTTGATCTTTCCATAAATCGGCTACGTTTTCTTCCAATAAGAATGGCTTAGTACTTCGCTGCGTTAACCTTCACTGTTTATTTGCTGAACCACTTATGTAGTTCATTCGACAAGCTGCATATTTTAACCTACCCGCTCTTTTTCCATTAGGATGCCACCAGTGTACCTATTCTTGACGTTTAGGGAGTAGAACAGCCGAGAGAAGTGGGCGGGGTTTTATGACAGTCGGCCGAAACGGTATTCTTGAAAGTTGAGAGAAGGAGTCGCTCCCGAGGAAGCGGGAATGATCGACTAGTACGACCCAGTAGAAAAGGCATCTCCTCGGGTTTTCCAACCTCAAATCGTTTTTATTTATGTTTTTTTGTGAGTGAGGGGTGTATCGATTTATTTAGCAAGTTGTGGTTAATTTAGTTTTAAAAGGAAAGTTGAGTAATTCAATAACATTATATTAAATGACATGATAATTGAGGATGTGGATGATGCCATGGAATAATTTGGGGTTCCAAGGCATCCCTGAGACAAGATATCCTTTGATCTAACTGACCATAAATTGGTAAGGCTGTTTAGAAGTCCCAAAAATATTTTGTGCAGAATTGGTTGCGATGGATTCTTATTATTCATTACATACATTCGTTAGGAATCCTACACGAGAATCAGCCTTCGTCAGTTCGGACCTGTTGTGCACAAATTATAGCAGTGATTCCTTTAGCTTGAGCGATAGCGGCCTTGATTTTTCACAATTTGAAATGGATTCCGTCACGCAATTCCATTTTTCCTGAAAGTTGCATTTACTTCAGTCTCTTTAAGGAACATAGACTCATTTTACGATTCATTATAAAGTGCTGAGTGAAATGGGCTGCATATTTGAAATTACACTTACTTTCAATTTTGTAAATAAATATACTTAAGCAGTTAATACGGTATAAATTTTACTCGTGCATTAACTTACCTAAACCGGACACAGAAACAATGAAGCACGTTTTAAAAAATACAAACTTTAATTTTCAATATAAACGGTTTGGAAATAAATACGTGCCAGCGGAGAACGAGGTAATAAACGACCGGTTCTTAACTTAGATAAAGACAAGTACATGATTCTGTGTCTGTCTGTGTCTGTCTCTTTTATACCCAAAGGTTAGTACGAGTTCCGCCACAATAGCAAATGAATGAGGTTGGCGAGTCTGTCCGACCATCAAAATTTTCTCGATTTTGATTGGTCACACAAGCTGGCAACACTGCTTGCAGAAACTGCGTGTTCACTGACTGTCCCTATCATTCAAGAATACTACTTTTTTCCGCTGGGGATGATGAGCGAGGAGCGACTCCCTGGGATGCTCCTTTCTCTCAAAGTCAAGAATAGACACACAGAGCTGTAGCGTCCGCAAGTAGAGCCAAGACGTATTGACGGTTCTTGGGATGCCACTGATTACGATATTGTAAAGCGTCGGAGAGAGTACTGTTTCTTGCGGGACTCCTGCTTCAGTGCTTCTGTGCTCTGACCTGTGGTTCCCAACTTTGAAGCTGAATGTCCTGCAAATGTAACTGATGACTAGCTGACACAGTTTCTCATGAATACCTGATCTCATCATTTCACCTCCACGCTCTGTGGAAAAATATTTCAATGTCCAGAGTGAGGATGCGAGTTGTCTTCCTCTGGTTCATTTTCTTGGCGCATCCTTCCACTATTCTGAGCAGCTGGAGTTCAGTTAAGGGTTTACCATGGAACCCAAACTGATCTCGCGGCAGCACGTCAAGCGCACTTGGCTTGCTCGTCATCTTCCGCAGGTGTCACGTTCAGTTAAACTTTAATAAGATCAATTACAATCCACTAAATCGGAACAAGATGGCAACCGCGCGAACAGCCAGGAGAAATCATAATCAAGAAAACGAACCACATGTGATTATCACAAATGTATCAAATCGTAAAATATATTAAAAACCAAAAGCAAAAAGTGTATCAATCATCAACATCAAAAGCGACAATCAAATCTCTACAACATGCCTTTCTGCTATCTTGCTGAGGCTGGAAAGAGGCTAAAGGGGCTGTTTCGAGATGCTTGGAAAATGTCTAGTCTTGAAAATGGCATTGATTAGATTTGTGACAGCTGCCAGTCTTTTCTCGGCAAGCTCGTAAGCATATGCCGTAATTGGTGATGCCGTAACTCCGACGAGCTTTCCCCGTTCTCGAGTGCCTGATGGTGACTGCCACCTCTCCTGGTGAGCTTGGAAGAATACATTCTGACTACAGTCTCATGCCCGTCATCTTAATCCGGGTGGCCATTTTTTCTCTGTTTTGGTGATATCTGCAAAAACTTCAGATTTATCAACGTACGTATATAGCTGGTATCTTGGTGTCCTCCTGTATGAGAGCCTTTTGGACTCTGCTGATGCTTTGGTCCACTGAATCAATCTGCCTGATGCATTCTTCCTATCTTTGGATTCGATGATACCTGAGGGCTTCCTCCAGAATCTATCCCTGCCGATTTATAGCGTTTTTGTACTACTAATATAATATATTAGTAGTCGATGGTCCTGTTAACCCTGTGCAATATTCGCAAGTTGGCGATTTTCCTGCAAAGGTTAGCTGGTAGTTACTCAAGGGCTACCTGCACCTCCGCAGTCACCGAACTTCTGGCCTGTGCTTGCGGGATTGTTTTACCGAGGATTCTGGCTGCTGTTTCCACTGCCATTATTTCCTTTGCAATTATCTGTGGAATTGCGATTATATAATGTACTACGTCTTTGAACATAGACCAATTCGTTCTCAATGGCCCGATAACAAATTAATTCTCTATTTCAATCTGTCTTTTGTTGGTCTCGGAGACAGCATTGCCGCCAGGGCTTCTTTTTTTGCGCGCGCAACAATAATATACTTTTAAATGCATTTAAAAATTTCTTATTTATATTTACATTTTTAAACTTGTCAGGCAATTAATTAATTTTACTCAGTTAATCATCTAAAATTGGATTAAAATTATAATTATTTTATAATTGCAACAATTTAAAATTTAAGTAAGCATATAGGGTGACTCAAAATTGGCGTCATTCCATTCAACTAATAGGGGCTCACTTGGAAGGTACGAGAAAAATAATTTCTAGAAAATATTAACAGTTGAAAATAGAATATCAACTTCGTTATTAAGCATTATTTTGAAAGTGTTCCATGTTTAATTGGAAGCATATTGGAATATTTAAGCATTCAAAAAGAGAAATTACGATATTTGCTTCAAATTATGAAAATATTTGATATTACAAAAGTTCTCTTCTAGAATTTTTTGATGAAAAGTCAAAGTGGTAATGATGTTTTTTGTCATTAACAGATAGTTACAGGTGGATAGCCCTTGTCAATAATAACAATAATTTGTCAAGCTGTGACTTACTTTGAATTTCCTTCCACGAATTTTCGGATATGCGATTAGTTCAGGGAAAATGCTACAGTAACATAGCAGAAGCTGAAAGAAGTCACGACAACAAAGGGCGAGGAGAGTGGYTCCAGGAAGATAGTGGACGACAACTGATGTTCGGGTTCCAGACACAGAGAAATAAGTAATGGACATAATTGCTYCAGGGCCTTCCAGGGATACTCAGAGCATTTCACAACAACTGACACTTTCCCAGGCACCAAATAAATACCGGCTACATTCTTACGACGTATGTAAGATCACATTATACTACCAATGGATTACTGAACACCCGTATAAATTGAGCAGGAGTTAATTAACCGAATACGAGAAGCTGCTCGAGAAGAGTGAATAATAAGGTGATTACACAAGCACTTGTTTGGTGTTACAGACTCAAATGTATGTTTTTGTACTTTGTAAACAAATGAATATTTCGAGGTTATGAGTTTCTAAATAAGTTCCGTCACTCAACGATTTTTGTTGAATTTACCGTTTATCCTTGTCTATCTTATTGTCACGTTTTCTATTTATCCGTGGTTACCGGAGTTTTAAATAATTACGAAACAACAGGTATTTATGTAATGTTAATTAGGCAGATTAGCTTGAAAAACATTGTTGCCGTTTTTCTAATATAGTTTTTAGCAAATTTCTCACTTGTTAATAACAATTAAGTTTTTTTACTAATTTTTCTGCACTTCTAAAACACCGCCAGACAACCCCTCCAGAGGAATGGCGCCAATTTTGAATCACTCTGTATAAGTCGATGGAAAACATTTTCTTAATTAAGCAGTATTTCTATGTTAACATATATTGTCTATTTCAGTATCTTTTGGAGGAGCATTGTCATTATTCTTGGGACTGAGCGTGATAAGCTGTTTTGAGACTGTTTATTTGGTAAGTGAATCATTTTACCACAGTTTGCAACGACGCATTGCGAGGAAAACTAATGACGTTGCAGCATAATAAGACAAATATGGCATTCAATAGTCGTATAAAATGTTTAAATAGCTGAATTTTAAACAAGTTAGATCACTTTATGTTTTTGGGAAAATAATGTAATTTTAGATATGCGTTATAATTAGATTTTTGGATGCCACTTTAGCAATGTGTTATTTATTGATGTATTGTACCAGTAAATATAAAAGAATTATTTAAATAAAAAAGTACAGATAATTTAAGTAAGAAATAAGTAATCGTATAGCCGCTTTTGGTAACAATTTTAAGATATGAAAGTTTTATTCTGTATGTGATTAGCAAACTCACTTATTTCTTATAAATTAAGGCCCTCACATGTTACCGTCGTATTAAAAATTGTCTCATCTTGTTAATAAAATTGCATATTACAGACATAATTTTTGTTCAACAGCCTGTCATTAATTTTCCTGAAAAACGTTTTGATTCGATTCAGGGTTGAGAAACATCTTTCAGCCTCTGACGTTTTCATGAGATCCTATAATTTAAGTCATTCCTTAGTCTCCTTCAACATATCTCCTTTTTTTATTAAAAGTTTAGACTAAGTAGTGCGTCGTTTAATACCCTCTTACGATTTTATTGGTCAGCTTGTAAGCGTTCTTTATTAAGTGTGGGATAGAAGTAACATATGACGGTGAGTTTGTCTTCATTGAAGTGAAACATTTGCTAAATTTCACTGGACGTAATTACTTAGAAAGGAAAATGGGATGCTACTATTAGATATTTGCACAATTTACACTTATTTATAAACATCTACACACATTCTTAAAGCAGAAATATTATGTCAAAGTTTATTGTTTAACGGACAAGTTCTGTTTTCTGGTGGCTCATAGCTTATTATATCTGATGCTTCACAAATGATATGTTATCAATATTATTTAGGAATCGAATGAGAGTATCTTGAAAACTCTAAACTACTAACTAACAAACTAAATTTTGAAAAGTTTGTTTGCAGCAGGGAATGCATTGTAAATTAAAAAAAAACACTTAATTGCAAATTTTTGGCACTAGTTTTAGACATAACCAATTTTAACTGGTGAGCACAACAATATAATATGGAAGCAAAATATTATGTTTTTAAATAAATGCTTGAGAGCCTGAATGTTGGTCGCTTATCACCGCTGCAATATTATAATTCTTATCTGAATGTTCAATTAAATGATCTATGAGAGATGGTTTTCTGTGTAATGTAAACGAATTGTAGGTGCATCATTTTTGCAAGAATTTAGTACTTCCCTACTTACAAAAATGTTCAACTCGATCACTATCGCAAACATATACAGGGTGAGTTTTTTTCGATGACTATAGCAGTTACGAAAAAGGTTAAATGAACAAAGAATTGTAATTTTGAATGCTCTACTCGAAACCATTTTTTTTAAATTTGACATATGTCAAGAGATTTGGGAAAAATTTATTTATGGTAATTTTTTAAATTACTCCTAGTTCCGTTGATATTAATTTGACAGGAAAACATTAAATAGAAAACTTGAATTGAATTCCAACAAAACGGCATAAGACGTTTCTCCAAAATAACTGTCATTTTTTACATATGACACAAATTTGAGCTTTTTAAATGCCCATCATACTTGATTATTGTTTTACCAAATCGAGCATTTTATTACGATGTCTGTGATATATCATATCGTTAGGATTTTTTCGAAAATAAAGTGTCTGCGAACAAGTTATACGTGTTCAATTTAGTTGATCTAAGTTAGTCATGGAAAACAGTATCAAACATGGCATTGTGCTATAATTGCTAGTTCGTGAAGGACACGCTCACACTATATGATTCACGAAACTGTTGGCAGAGATTATATAGTGGGCTTAAAGCTAAAACTGACCAGTTTCATATTCCAAGTTTTGGCAAATGCACTTTTAAACCGATCCAAAAATTATCAGAATTATCAGAAATGGGCTTTTTTAATTCAAGCGGTTATTTGCTTCAAAATAGTATCTTTTAATTATAACTAAAAATGCCCGTGCAGGCTGAGAGACCCATCGGGCGCGTCCCCAGTTCTCGGATAGGGAAAAGACCGATCAGATACGCCTGACCGGTTAGCGACGGCCATAAGTGAAAGTCGTGGAATAAAACCCACGGATCTGGATCGAAAGCCGTCGCCGGGGACCGGCTTGTGGCACAAACCGCAAACCGCCTGCAGTGCAAAGACTCTCGTAGCTACGGCATCGGGATAGGTACTGTAGGGGGCGCGGGGATTGCTTGACGAGGTCACTATAACACCTCCCAATTCTCAAGGAATAGTGCGCGCCAAGAGATGTAAGGCTGGAGGGAAGCCCAGCCAAAATCGATTAACCTTGAGGTAACAGGCGCACCTCATTGTATCAGCCTTACCCACGCATGCGAGGCTCTGTGTGGATGGACCTAACCCTTCCCTAGCTAGTCGTGGGAATGAGGGAGGAAAACACCACCACCATACTACCACAAAATAACGGCGAAACTTCCTCAGAAGAACCGTTGGGCTCCGTAGCTGGCAAAGTACCGAAGGGTGGTAAAAAACTCTCGGGGCCAGGCGGAGCAACCACCAAAACTGTGTTAGCTAGACCCTCAGGGGAACCAGCACACCCCAAAAAAGCTGCCATGACCGGGACGCAAAAGCGACACCAGTCGGATGGCAGCACACCCAACAAGTCAGCACCTGGGCGGCTGTGTGTGAGAACTTCCGTATAGGAAGGAAATACACACAAGTTGTGCATGGTTGCGGTTTCCGGGATTAATATGACTATAGCGGCGGTCGGATATTCCGAAAAGAACTTTTCTCCTCAGCAGGGAGAACTCATAAAGACGCACCTGCTTAGGAAAATCGACGAGCTGCAGTCAGGAATGACTACCAGACCAGGTCATGCGTCGTACCTCGCCCCCAAGATTCTTCTGGAAATCTTTGAATACACAGGGATAATGAGGGAGTAAAATACGAGGGCGCCATAGGACGGAAATGACCGCGGTGCAAGGCCAAACACCACCTCGGCGGTGAGGAAAGTGTTTTAGTGGGTAAACAGCTTAGCTGGAGTCCCACACAACTTAGAGCGACAGACAACTAGCTCTGGAAGTGCATGAAAGACCATTTCCAAAACTTTTTTCTTTTCTTTTTTTCATTTTTGTGTTATTTTGATGGAACGTTTCTGGCCTGAGTATTCTTCTTATCTCCTGATTATTGTAACCATTTATCCTAAACGCCCTCTGAGTGTCACAATTCCCGTTCAAGTTCATTCGGGTGGCAAATCCTCTTAGATCTTTTGGCCAAGGTTTGAATGACGCCCCGTTTCGCCTGGGGTGGTGGTTTGATTGCTTGCTGAGATACCGGTCAGTATGTGTCTGTTTTAGGGATGGTCGGTATTTAACGTAACCGCTAAAATARCAATGTTCCAAACGATTTAACCGGTTTTTTTTKAAACCGTCTCATTAAACCGAAACAGTTGTGCGCACTTCGCACCGGCTGCAGGCGTTTGGTGATTTAAATGTTGTTTTTGGAACCGTCTCAAAAAACCGTAATAGCGGTGCACACCACCGATGCGACAACGTCGAGCGATCTATCCAGCTGCAGCCGTTTGTCGACTTAAACGGTTCTTTTGGAACCGTCTCATAAAACAGAAACAGTGGTTTGCCTCAGCACAGAACCGATGCGGCATGTTGTGTGYAGTTGCGCGTTGCCTTGTTGATTGTGTATCACTTTTSGTTTGTAAGAATTACGGTTCAGTTCTCCAGGAACCAGCAAAAATTTGTTTAAGTGCTGCAATGATATAMTTCAGCAATTTTAGTCTATAAGTATTTAGTTTTCTGASATTCTGCAATAAATCTTAAAAAAATGTTTTTCTCTCAAGAAACTTAACTCGGCAGTTATGTGCYCATTACCAACAAACTAAGCATAATGTGCACTTGCATATGAGCTATGAGCAAACTAARAGTCCAAGACATAAATTCCATCACAGTTGAAATGTAAAATAACAAACCGTTTAAGCAGAATGTGCACTGCACTTAAGCAAGCTGGCCATTTTTAAATATGAATTCAGTCAGAGATGAAAGTAATTTGAATAGTAATAAACGTTGTAAAGTCGATATTTTTTTTATTTTTTTTTGGTGGTACCAAAATTAACTCGAGTAATACTTCGTCCAGGTTTGCCAAACACGCATTTTTGATTGTTGTTATTGGGGATCATTTAATGCTATTGTGAAACTAAATGCAAGAGATTATTTTCTAAAGAGGCTGCTATCATAATCGCGCAAAGAATTAGTATCTTCAAAATCAGTAAAAAACATCTGCAAAAAAATTATTCTTAAATGGTAATTCATTTTTAAATGAAACTGAGATTTTAAGACATTTTCGCATATAAACCGTATATTTTATTTAATCACTCTAGTTTATTATCAGATTTTTTGTTCTTTAAGTAGTTACTTCTGACCTATGTTTTGTTTTTGATTTTAGAATATTTTATTTTTAGTTTACCAATGTTAAGAATTATGTTTTTAATAAAGGAAATCATTACATATCATCACTATTTCTACTATCATCATTATTCTGCGTTTTTAATGAAAAATTTGAAAAGTTACATGTTCCTTTTGGAACCGCATTTTGAAACCTATGACCAAGATAAAACGGGAACGTTGTAACCAGTTACAGAAAAATAACCGTTGGTAATAGGTTTCAAAATGCGGTTCCAAAAGGAACATGTTACTTTTAAATTTTTTCATGAAACATGCGCAATGATGATGATGGTAGAAATAGTAATGACAAATAATGATTTAGTTTATTAAAATAATAATTCTTAACTAAAGCTCTTAGATAGATAGATAAAATAAAATATTCTAAAATCAAAAACAAAATATGGGTCTACTATACCTGCTTATAGAACAAAGGGACTGGTAATAAACTAGATAAAATATATAAATAAAAACTGATTATCTAATCTAATCTAATTTTCAATTAAAAATGAATTAAGGTTTAAAAAAAACTTTTTTGCAGATGCTTTTTACTCAGTTCGAAGTATTACCCGAGTTAATTTTTAGGAGGTCAA